GAGAGAGAGAGAGAGAGAGAGATAGAGAAAGGGAAGAGGTAGCGGAATTAACAAGTGATAATAAATATATATATTTATAAATATAATATTTATATATACATACATACATATACACATCTGTATAACTTATATATATATATGTAAGGGGAACACAACTATATGATGGGTATGTAAGGGGAACACAACTATATGATGGGTATGTAAGGGGAACACAACTATATGATGGGTATGTAAGTGGAACACAACTATATGATTGGTATGTTACGGGAACACAACTATATGATAGGTATGTAACGGGAACACAACTATATGATGGATATGTAAGGGGAACACAACTATATGATATGTATGTAACGGGAACACAACTATTATTATGATAGGTATGTGACGGGAACACAACTATATTATAGGTATGTAACGGGAACACAACTATATGATAGGTATGTAAGGGGAACACAACTATATGATAGGTATCTACAAACGCACGCGCACACACGCATGCACACATGAATGCACGCACGCACACACACACACACACGCACGCGCGCGCACACACACGCAGGCACGCACACACGCACACACGCACACACGCACACACGCACACACACACGCACGTTAGCAGATTACGTCTGCTGATTGCGTCACGTGACCTACCTCCACCGTAGAAGTTCCAGACGATCCTGACGGCGTTGACACCAACGACTACGGGACCGTACTGTAGCAACTGCTCTATTATCATAGTACCCTCCTCACTGAAGCATGAACACACACACACACACACAGAGTAATACACACGTCACATACTCATCATATAGTTGTGTTCACCTTACCTACCCATCATATAGTTGTGTTCCCGTTACATACCTATCATATAGTTGTGTTCCCCTTACATACCCATCATATAGTTGTGTTCCCCTTACATACCCATCATATAGTTGTGTTCCCCCTACATACCCATCATATAGTTGTGTTCCCCTTACATACCTATCGTATAGATATATGTTCCTTCTATTACACATGAACATCACGTGTATAGGTATCCAGCGAAGACATCCTCACCTCACGTCCGACACCCCCGTGACGTCAGCTTCCTTACAGGTGTCATTAACACGTGTGACGTCAGCTTTTTTACAGGTGTCATTAACACGTGTGACGTTACCATCATTACAGGTGTCATTAACACGTGTGACGTCACCTTCATTACAGGTATCATTAACACGTGTGACGGAGGCAGCAACACGGGCGGCACGTCATTTGGTAAGGGACTGACAGGAGGCGGGGACCTCAACCATGCTGTCGTCATCGTAGGCGATGGGACGACGGACGACGGGGTCGAGTTCTGGGTGCTGCTGAACAGGTGTGCTGATTGAAATACCTGAGCTTCTCTCCATCGCTGTCTCTCTCCGTCTCTCTCTCTCTCTCTCTCTCTCTCTCTCTCTCTCTCTCTCTCTCTCTCTCTCTCTCT